CCACTTTCCAAGCGGCTATGACGACGGAGTTCCGACACATGCTGGATCGTTTCGTACTTATATACCTCGACAACATTCTGGTTTACAGCCGGAGTCTGGACGAGCATGTGGAACACCTGCGCACCGTTTTGGAGCGGCTACGACAGGCCAAGTACAAAGCAAACCGCGACAAGTGCGAGTTCGCACAGCAGGAGCTGGAATACTTGGGACACTATGTGACGTCGCAAGGCATCCGTCCGCTTGCGGACAAGATCGAGGCCCTACGAGTATGGCCCGAGCCCACCAACACCACGGACGTTCGTTCATTCATGGGGTTGGCGGGCTACTATCAACGATTCATCGCCGGATACTCCAGGATTGTTGCACCTATGACGAGGTTACAGTCGCCAAAGGTGCCATTCGTATTCGATGACGACGCACGCCGCTCATTCCAAGCACTTAAGACGGCTATGCTCATGGCACCCGTCCTTAGCATTTATTACCCCACCCTGCCGACGCGAGTGACTACGGACGCTTCCGGCTATGGCATTGGGGCAGTCTTGGAACAGCACGACGGCGACGACTGGCACCCTGTGGAGTATTTCAGCCACAAAGTGCCTCCCATCAACTCGCTTGATGATGCAAGGAAGAAGGAGTTGCTCGCATTCGTAATGGGTCTCAAACGCTGGCGGCACTTCCTCCTTGGGCGTTGTAGGTTCACATGGATCACAGACAACAATCCATTGACCTACTACAAGACGCAGGACACGGTGAGCAGCACGATCGGACGATGGATGTACTTCATCGACCAATTTGACTTCACACCAAAGCATGTCCYCGRCCTCTCCAATCGCGCAGCAGATGCACTCTCGCGAAGACCTGATCTTTGCGCTATGACACATCATGCCTTCGCATTCGACGAGGAGCTTCAGCGACACTTCATCCGCGCATATCAGTCTGATCTAGACTTCGGCACGCTCTATGCACAGCTATCTTCGAATCACCCGCTGGCCAGCCATTACCGCATTGCCGACGGGTACTTGCTCCTTCACTCGAGAGGCAAGGACTTACTATGTGTCCCACGCGACCGTCGTCTTCGGACTCGCCTCCTCGGCGAGTACCATGATTCACGACTCGCCGGCCATTTCGAAGTCAACCGCACTATTGCACGGCTTCGACAACGATTTCGATGGCCCGACCTCATTACCGATGTCACTCGGTATTGCGACTATTGCGAAGTTTGCCGACGCAGCAAGCCCCGCAACCGCAATCCCTACGGCAAGTTACACCCGATGCCTATCCCACGGGAACCCAGTCTCTACATTGCCATGGACGTCACCGGTCCGTTTCCTCGCGACCGGCTCGGGCACGACGGCATCCTCACGGTTGTGGACCGATTGAGTAAGTACACACGTTTTTTCCCTTGCAAGTACTACTCCACGGCTCCCGAGCTGGCACGCCTCCTGCACACTGGTTGGATTTGTGGCCACGGTGTACCAGAAGACATTGTCAGCGACCGCGACACTCGTTTCATGTCGGCGTTTTGGACTGCTCTCATGCAGGAGGCCGGCACAACAATGAAACCAAGTTCGACTCGACACCCTCAGACAGACGGGCAGACGGAGCGGGCACATCAGACCGCTCAAATGATGCTTCGTACGCTCATCCGTCCGGACCAGAAAGATTGGGTTGACCGCCTCCCCGACATCGAGTTC